TAGCTCGAGATAATAATTTTTTGGTCACCCATCCCGTGACCGACCCTTGCGAAAGATGCTTAACGACTACGATCACGGGCCGCGGCGCTAATCCACTACGCCACCAAGCTACTCAAACACATTGGATGATAGATATTATCTCGATGATGAAGAGGAGAGATGATTTGAAATTAAATGAAAACTAAATAAAAGTTGTAAAGATCTTAAATGAAGACAAATTTTTGTTATTAGAAAATATACCGCGATCACTTTGTTAATGATGCTCTTCGAAATAAATTAAATGAACCTCCATTTTCCCTTAGTCGTAGATCATCTGGTTTTTACAGCCTTCGATAAAATTGAAGTCTAATATTTAAAGGCCGTACTAAATGGCTTTTATCAGATGGCACATCCATACTTCAATAAGATTAATTTAGATTTTCTACTATAAGTTAGTCGCATAACTGAATAGGGACGATTTTTGTTGGTCTACTTGACGCAATATTAAACACATGTTTTCTTTATTTTTATGTTGCATGATGTTACACTTTTGTACATTTACTACATGCTGTGTGTGTCTAGCAAAGAACCAGGAACACCTTAAGTTTAATGCCTACTATCCCATTTCTTTTTATATTGAAGAAAAAAAAAAGTATCTAATATTTTTCTATTAGTCCCTCAGTCAGGACCGACTAAATTGAATTCCTTTTTTTTATCCAGGCATCATCCTTATTAACTATATCATCGATACGCATATGCATGGTAGACTTTTTAGCGGCCTTTCTAAACTTGGACACTCTTTTATAGAATATTCATGTATCTAAGTTTTTATCTTATCGTTGAAACAGCGTTCATTAAAAACTCTACTGCTCAACCGTTTTTTCGTCCAATTAAGTTACGAAGCTGATCGTTATGGAAAATGCTTTTCTTTTGCCGTGTTAAAATAAAAGTAAGACCATTTTAAAAATTCGCTTTTAAAATTTGGTGATCTTTTTCTTGGGTTTAATAGTTTGAAAAAAATATATTTTCCATACAACAACAAAAAAATTAAAAACTAACGAGAAATTCACACTTTGAACGCGACGAAACTATCATATTTTACCGCTTGAAAGTGTTCTATAATATATATCTAACAACTAGTAGACAAGAAGTAAGACAACTAGTAGCTATGACAAGACAATTTCTAAATTTTATAGACTTCAGTCGCAGGATATAGTTGACATTATGTGTATTCATACTGACATTAACAGTTCTATGTATGGTTCCCATAGATAGAACTGAAATTAAAGTAGTTCAATAAAATCTTAAAGTAGTTCGCAAATTTCATGTACCTACCAGGTTTCAACTGTGTAGTCCTAACAGTTTCGGAATAAAGTGGCTGCGACGGACAGATATGAGAGACATGATGAATCTATAAGAGTTCCGTTTTTTTGCCATTTAGCTACGCAACTTTAAAAAATCATCAATCACGCTGCGATGACGTAGACAATGCAAAACAAAAAACAAGCACATTTGCCCTTTTCAAAATACAAAATATCTCATGGCCTTCCAGAAACTTTTACTGTGAGGAAATGTATAGATAGATATTTATAATTAATAAAACTTACTCAGTTTCTATGGCTGCTTACACAATACAAACATCTATTAAACTGTACCTAAGTCTCATCCATCTTTTGTCCCTCTCGGTTGTCCTGAGCCATTCTCTGCAGGCGGGAACGGCAATTTATTCTCACGGAAGTACAGTTTAATATCCCAAAATTGAATTTTATTAGGCCTGGACTCAATGTAATAGCTATAGGCTCAAACGATCTTTAAATACTTTCGTTATTATTTATTCGACTAGATATAACAAGCTTCGTGTTAACCGATCTCATGATTGCGGTTAAATATGGAAATGCAACTTATTTTTGTGTTTGACTTAGAGTTTATCTTACTGCCTGGCATAGCTTTGTAGACACTTTAAAAAACGGCGGTAGATAATATAGACAAATGTATAAAAATACAAAATAAAACTAATTATGTTTATGCATTTGTTCGATATAAACTTATTAAATTTTGTTGACAAGTGCTGCAGCGGTAACAGAAATGATAAACTATTTCGCGGGACAATTGTGGGAGCGTTACTCAGGTAATTGTTTTTTATGGGTCTCTTCTAATATGTTGGATTATATTCGCCTCATTTTTTTTATTCATACGAGTCTTCTTAAAAGCTTATTGTTCTTGACAAAGATTTCGGTAAGCGGAAAGCTAATAAATGTTCAACCGAATAATAACAGCTCTATATATCAGCTCTTTTATCGTAAATAATATTATTTGAAAACGTTTCGTGAGGCCTTTTCTGTGTATTTATTATGACAAACTCGATCCACTTACGTTTCATAAATATTTATTAGATAATCTGTTGCGCTACTAGCCACTACACTTCTGGGACCTGATGTCAGGACCCTATGACGTGGGTGTCTATAAAACGTGATCGTGTTTACAAATGGACAAATTTCTATAACAGGATTGGCCAGTCAGTTGAAGTGTCTTTATATATTTTTATGAATAAAATAAACACTCAGAAGCGAACTTTTTTATTAAAAAAATCCCAGGTGTGAATATAATATTTGACGTTTTCTATCAATACTTGGTAAAACATCATATTAATGCACAATAATATGAATACATAACATAGGTATAACTAAACCGCTTTTCGTCTGTTAGACCCTATGTACAAATATGATCTTTAAAATTACGCAACGAGTTTTGACGCAGTTTTTTTTAAGGGTGATTCTAAAAGAAGGTGTTATGATAATACAGGACCACACGGAGAAGCCACTGACAGAAAGCTAGTTTGAAATAACAGGTTAATGTCCTTCTTTATGTCTTAGTGTCCATATACAATCGATGCAGTGATTTGACCGTGAAAGTAGAATAGACAGCTAAATAATGTTACTTACTTCCACATTTATAAGAATGGATTTTCTTCATTTTAACATTGTAAATGTTTTTATTCTTCAAATATTTACTAGATGGACTTGTTCCAAGCCCGAAAGTTGGTTAATTGAAACAAATTCATAATTGCATAAGTTGTCAGAGTTCAGAGATATAAACCAGTGCAAAACTAATTCATTTTAATACTGAGAGTCTTGCGACTACTATAATATCAAATAAATAACTAGCTAGCAAATATCAAATACTCGTGCTATGCTAGGATATATTAAATCAAACTTTTTATGGTATTTTTATAGTAGTATTCGTATAATATATAATATCCATCTTTCTTGTCTAAGTTGAATAACAAAAACAATTGAAAGTCGATATTCAAATGTTTCATAATTTTTAAAATAAGAATATCCCAGAAACCATGTGAAAAAAAATTATTTCGAAAACCTCAAACCATGAAGATTCTATATCAATTCATGGAACCTATTACAATAAAACGGCAATAGTAGAATAAGACCGCTGATAGTAGAATAAGAAGCAAGATTTTCATAATTTTTGTAATTTTATAAACAAACGTAATTCATATTTTAGGATATAAGAATAATGGCAGGAAGTTTTATCTCACTAGAAGGTTCCTTAGTGAAAGGCAGTCAGTCACTGAGCAACCTTCAAAAGGCTGTGTAAAAACATACAACTACTAGTTTGGTCAAAAAATGTCTTTTAAAATTCATACACAATGCGATAGAACAGACATATTTTTCAAAATCCTAAACGAATTAAGTAAGGTCGCAATGGCGTTGGAGCGTTGATTCCTCCTTCTTTGGTTTCAAGGATGGGTTCAACGGATGGGGTTTCAGTTCAACCACTTTATGGGGTCGCTCCATCTATTGAGATGCATCCAGTGTGACCAGATTATTTTTTACGAAAATACCGAAGCACCTCAAAAAAATACTGAAATATACCAACTTGAACAGGTAAAATATACCAATAAAAATACTGATTTTAAAATTTTAAAGTTTAATCAATCATCACAATAAATGTTAGAATTGTATTTTAACATTCTATTTGAGGGATTAAAATTAACACAACCTCCTTGATCTTTTACACCTTGCTTTGTATGTAAAATTGCTGATACATTTTTGTTTATAAATCTGTTTCTTTGTTCCGTTTTTATTAAATTTATCTGTGAAAATATGCGCTCGCATGCAGCATTCGATACCGGTATACATAACAGAGATTAACTAAATGCAGTTAAATTTTTGTACTTGAACGTGCCATCACTATTAGAAATTTTCCCAACTTCCACCCAAAATTGTTCACAAGAAAGGGGTGAGCCAGAACTCGAAGATTGTAACAAATCACTTACTTCGCGATCAAGTTTAAGGGTTCTATATTCTTCATCAATTAACTGCATTTGTTCTGGCTGTACTTCGTATGGGAAAGTTTCTATTATATTTCTTAAACTGCGAAATTCTTTATTCACGGCAGTGTGTGGTTCGAGAAATTTCAGTTCTCGGAAAATTTTATTATCAAAAGGCAAACGTGATTTTAATTGTGTGCTCAACTCAATTAAAAAAGATTGGCACCTTCTGAAAAAATCAGCAATTTGTTCTTTCATGTTTATGTTTTCCCTGTGTTTGATTAATTCTTGACCCACTCGGATCCCTAAGTACATATCATTTAATAGCAAATAATTTATAGTAGACTTTGGGTCTAACGTAAATACGTTGTCCGTGCTTTTGATATAATTAGTTTTCATGAAGCAACCCAAAATCGACAAGTACATACTAGATGCATCATCGTATAATTTTTCAATGCACGGATAGTCGCCTTGAAAAATTATGTTAAATTTGTTAACAATCGGCAAAATGTAATCTAAAAAGTAGAAGTACAATTTGTTTATATCACTGGTAAAAAAATTATATATCATTTCTGATGATAGAATGCGATCACTCAAGTATTGGTCTTGAAAGAACAACTGCAGTGCCCTCCATTGCTCAATTATTCTACTAACACAAGCATGAAGCGATAGCCACCTTATATCATAATGACGTAATAGTCTATGGTTTTCAGTGTCAGTGAAATTTTGGAACTCAGCAAATTCTCTTTGACGCTTGCTGCTTTGAAAAAAAATATCCATATACTTCTTTTATCATCTGTTCTAAATTTCTAGGCAGTATTTTGCAAGCATGGCTAACACTTAATGCTGCAGAGTGACAAACACATTTTATGAAAAAGCACTTTGGGTTCACTTCTTTAATTTTTGCAACAATGCCAGAATGTTGACCAAACATCACATTCGTAGTATCAGCAGCGAATCCCAACACATCTTTTATATCTAAACCTAATTCGGATAACTTTGATGACAAAGCATTAAATAAATGATCTGCGGTCTCACCACTTAAATCAACTAAATCAAGGAATTTGGTTTTTACTGTACATTCGGTTTCAGAGAAGTATCTGATTACTATCGCCAATACTTTGACTGTGGCAACATCTGTACTTTCGTCAATTACAATTGAATAAACTGGTTTACCTGACGGAGATGCAGTACGAAGTATGTCTACAATCATATCTTTTTCAAATTCGGGTCCTAAAACGTTATAAGTTATAGCGGCTGCTTTGGTCCTCTTGCAGGAAAATTTTTTCGCAATTTCGGAGTCGGGAAAACACTTTACTAGAATTTCACTAAGATGGTCCATAGCTCTTAAAGGGATGTTGTGTTCTGCAAAAAAACTGCAAAAACGGAGTTCAGCTTTCTTAACTTCGTCTTTCAGTGGTACCTTTCTAAAAAATTTATCAACCTGGAAACAAATAAAAAAATTGTTAGCATAGACCACCCACTAATAAAAACATCTTCAGAACAACAACAACAGAACTTCTTGACTTTAGCTACAGTAATGCTATATACAGGAAGCAATTAAAACCACTCTCCAAATTTGAGTATGTTAAGCTTTACGACAAATAATGAAATACGGGTTTTTTCTTTTTATGTCGTTTAGAACAAAAATGTTGAGTTATATCGTCACCAAGTTATTTTCAAAAAACCTACATTTGTGGACGCTCTCGCTGCCCAGTACGTGCGCTTTACGCACTACGTTGCACTTACCCCTCCCTCCCTTGCCGCAATTCATTGATAGTAATAATAGCAGCTACCTAAAATGTTTTCGTTTTGTCATGCTTGGGGAAATGGTAAATAAAGTTGAAACCTCTTCATACTTTTACGGGCTTAGGACCGTAAAATTGCCTAAATCCTATTAGATACCTACTATTACAATAGCTATACTGCTTTAAATTTATAAAGTAAGTAGGTAAGTAAATATCGAGTTACCTAAAATTCTGTTTAGTTAAACCAATTCAAAGTAGGTACTTAACTCGCTATTCTTTTGAAATCAGGCGTATTTAATCAACTTTATGTACATAATCAACTAATCAATTTACCTACCTACTTTAACTATTTACCTACGTATACTTTAATAATTGTTCAAAGTACATACCGTTCCTCTCCAAACAGAGTCTTGCACCTTTTCTGCACATTGTCTTTTAATTTTGCGAGCACTACCGTGTCATTTTTCACTTGGTAAAATGCCGCTCTGATTTGCACTTTTAAGTCCTCGAGGCTTTGTGCTTCCTCAACATACACACGTCTTTTAATTTCGCCCCACAAATAAAAGTCACACTGTGTTAGGTCCGGCGATCGCGCAGGCCCCACGATGGGGCCTCCGCGTCACGTTGATCACCATGTATGTAACACTGCACCATTTCATAATATTCGCGATTGGAATACATTACGACGCGCGAAGTGTGGGGCTGCGGCGGGTGGCGCGCAACACGGAAGCGGAAGGCGGAAGTGCGTGCGTTCAAAGGGGTTGTGCGCGGGCGACTGATGTGCGCCGACAAAATAAAAAACCGAGCAGACATCGTCGTTGGCACATGCGAGTACATCCCCTGCGCCCGCGCCCTTCTACCCCTGCTTGTTTTATTCATAACTCGTGTGACAATGCGAATGTTATAATCTTGTAATTGCAACAAGTTTACATTTCATTTTGAAAATTTTACATACCGTTTTTTTTTCATATATGTGATCTATTAACGATACCTAATGCCTAGAAAAAATTTGGAGAGTCATTTTAATTGCATCCGGTATATCAATGTATGCTTACCTTTGACTGTATTTTTTAAAGTTCGATTTATGATTTTCACTATTTGCATGTTGTTTTATAGATGCTAATCTACTTTGGAGTTTCGCACTGCATGCTTTGCAAAAGGCGGCGTACTCGTCATCTTTATAACGTGAAAGCCACGAAGAAAACTCCGGAATTTGTTCCCACTTAGCCAAATAACTTTGCTGAAAACTAGACATTTCGTTCCGGACGGATGCGTCAAGTAAAATAAAAACAAAAGGATAGCGCTCTATTTATATGATGACAAAAACGTACTACAAAGGGGAAATTCCCTATTTATCGAAAGAATAACTTCAAAGATTAAGTTAAGTGCAGAACAGAAACTCATTTTATTTAAACCGTATTAGATGATTCGATACTATTAATAATTTTACTTCGGCGGACGCTTGCCATGTCCTATCTACAACTTACTGATCTTTGCTCCCGAATGAAATAATAGACTAAGTCCAGGAAATTCCCTGGCAGAAATTCGCGGAGACGTTCGCTATGGTGTTAATTTTTATCCAAAATATACCAAAAAATACTGACTTCCGCCAATATACCTACAAAAATACTGATGCTTGGAAAAGTCGATAAAATATACCGAAAAAGTATTAAAATACTGAATATGGTCACACTGGATGCATCCCGATGCTCTCAGTGGGAGGTGTTCAACCCCGTCAAACCATCACAACGTCGATATATGTTCTTATATGTCGCTTAGTGCGATAGAGTTATCTATTTAAAAATAGTTTTTTCTCGATCACGTTACAAAAAGAGCACATGGCGTAAATTATATGCACTTAGAAAGAAGAAGAAAATCTAGTACTAATGAATTATTTGTTTCAAATCATTATTTCAATTTGAAGGAAGAATTTATGTTACCAACACGATAATGATGCTTTAAAATTATTAACTGTCATATATAGTGTGTATTAATTTTATGAGTAACAGGATGCCCTCAATAGTAGGAATGAAATAGGTCGTCATTATTTAGTTACCATATAAAATGGTGTAAAGGTTGATGTGTAATAAAGCGTCACAGATGCTCTATAAAGCTCAGTGGATTATTACACCTATTAAGAGAAATCACAGCTTTTGATGGTATACTTTGATAAGAGATGATTTGGATAGATTTATTGTACAATGAATAATGAAAGTAAGGGATTATTTTTTAATATTCCGACTACAAACAACAACCTGTACTTTATCTCTTTTGTTGATATTTGTATTTCCTTTAATAAAACATATCTAATCCCGGCTGCTGGTTTCGTTACGGCAAAGATATTCTACTTTTATTAAGAAACAAGAATTATATACCCAATGAAAATTTAATATCCGTTGTAATATTAATACTTTTTGATAATATTTATATGATGGAAAATGTGAACTAGGATTTATTACTCGTATATTAAAGTGAATGCCGAATGTGATTTGTAAAATTGATTCGTCATTCAATTATCAATTAGAGCAAATAAAAAAAAAATCCGCCAAGAACGAGTCGTATTGCAACCTGAATATTATTAATAATTATTTTTTTCATTTGCATTATGACAATAAAAATAAGTTTTAAAAAAGTATTATGTGAACTTTGAACTTAAACGATATGTCCATTCAAAAAACTATTTAGTTAAACTATCGTTTTCGCGAGCACTGTCCATTGTCATACTGTGTGGGGTTAGCCGCCTATACCGTCCAGTACACAGAATGAGTGATAAGTATAAGTTTTGTATAGAGATTTGTGTAGTTTTTGTTGGTTACAATCTTAATACATTCACGATTGGCAATAAACGTAAACGTCCAAAAGTATTAACTAAACGCTTAGAAACGTAGAGTTCTGTGGCTAGCGACCGACACATATTATTTACTTATAACGCTCACATGATACTTTGAGTATTTGTTTATTTAGTCACTTGCCCTAGGAACTAGGCTTTCTCTTTCTTACGAATTTAAATGCATTCAGATTTATAATAGGTTGAATATTTTGTTTAACTTATAAGTAAAATAAGACGAAACAAAATTTTTGGACTTTATTAAATATAAAGACAGGTATAGGAAAAAATTAAAATGTAACAGATGCCCTTACCATAGCTGCATTGGAGCGTAAATGTCGTCAAAATCTAACAAAATATATCTTCTTTACTATCTTTATGAATGTCCACATCTGTACATGTGACGCCTCACGAGTAAGACAATAACCGATTTTATTTTTTCATTGAATTTAATCATATCAAACATAATTCGTATTTTACTTTTCAGAAAAAGTTATTTTCATTAAAACAAGGAGGTATTATGTTTATGGAAATGAACAACTGATATCTACAGAATAGACGATACAGAAATGTTAGTGTTCTATTTTGATCTGACTGGTCATCATTTGCTTGTATCCTTTCCAATTACTTAAAGAATTAACATACCTTTGTGGAGTTTCTACTTTACAAATTATTCTAGAAAATAAATTTTTACTTTTAGAACTTTAAAATGTTCAGTAAAGGATTGGAAAGACTATGAAACTTATATCTTTGTTTTACCACTATTAGAAAAAGGTTATGTTTCTTACTTTATTTGTTGTAATCTTCGAAAATATTGACCCGATTATGAAATTTTTTTCACATATGGGAAGTTACATCGAATGTGACATAGGCTATAATGAAATATAACTTTATTCTTTGGATAAATAGATTTATATAGTCCTTCTAAACTTTTCGATCGGTCGTTATGTCAACATTTACTTCTTTAAACAATTTTGTCTAGCCAAAATAAAGATTAGACTATGAAATATTTATTGCAATTGCGTTATAAATAGGGAATCTCTCTGTGACCTCATAAATATTAAAGGTAGCTGATTCTTCAAAAATACGCCGCTGTAAATATATTTTATGAACATTTTTTTTTAAGAGTTTATATTGAACGGGGTCGGGACATTAAGAAGAATACACTAGAAGAGAGAGAATAAAGGTTATCAGAAAAAGGTAGCGTAAGGTTTTGAAACTGAAAAACGGTAAGAAGAATTGATATTGATAAAGTATGTTAAATGTATTATGAAATAGATATATCGTTTTGTTCCTTTTTATTATTTCCAGAAGGCCGGTCATGTGGTTACGATGTCAGTCATTTCTTAAAATCCCGATTGTTTATATTAATTTGTAGACGATTTATGTATGTACGAGTAGGTATTGTACAGTACTTACATACGAGGGTCAAACTGAAAGTTCTTAGAACTGGCCACTTATAAACAATATAATAAAAAAATAATTCTAAAATTTGAAAATATAACTCTTTGCCAATATTACTGAGTATATATTTCATTCATTTGTCATTTGTTTTACGATTTGGCGGCAAATTGAAAATTGTCTGTGTCACGTCATCATGAATTTAACACGAGAAAATTTTCGTGCAATGATTTTTTATGACTTTCGATGTCATTTAAGTCAACAAGAAAGTTATGATAGACTACGATTGGCCTTTCACGATGAAGCCCCATCTCGTGCGACTGTTTACAACTGGTTTAATGAGTTTAAACGTGGTCGCACTAATCTCACTGATGATTTACGTGAGGGACGGCCTTCTACGGCGACGACTGAAGATAACATCTGTGTTGTGCGGCGTATGATAGAGACTGACAAAAGAGTGACCAATCAACAGATTCGGACAAGCTTAGGCATCGGTATGAGTCAAGTGCACAAAATCCTCCACGAACATTTAGCGGTCAGGAAGCTTTGCGCCCGGTGGATACCTCATAATTTGACTGAGGCTCAAAAACTCCATCGTGTGGATTGGTGTCGTAAAATGATTGAAAGATTTAACGGAGGTGACTCAAATGCTGTGTTCGACATACTAACAGGTGACGAAAGCTGGATTTACTGTTATGATCCTAAAACCAAAAGACAATCTGCTCAGTGGGTGTTTCCTTTCGAGGAGTTGCCAACTAAAGTGAAGAGAGATCGAAGTGCGGGAAAAAAAATGGTGGCCTCGTTCTTTGGAAGGATAGGTCATTTTGCAACAATTGTGTTAGAGGATCAAAAAACAGTTTCTGCAGAATGGTACACTACCAATTGTTTGCCACTTGTCTTGGAAAAAGTTCGAGAGAAACGACCTCGCAGTAGGATCCTCCTTCACCACGACAACGCCTCGTCGCACACCGCCAAGCGAACGATCGACTATTTGGCGACATCAAACGTTGAATTACTGGGTCACCCGCCGTATAGCCCCGACCTCGCGCCTTGTGATTTTTATTTATTTCCAAAAATTAAAGAAAAACTTAAAGGAAAGCGGTTTATGAATGCTGAAGAAGCGGTGGCTGCGTATCGCGATGCCATTGAAGAGACCCGTAAGGACGAGTGGGCAAAGTGCTTTTCCCAGTGGTTCCATCGCATGCAGCGGTGTATTGACGTGAATGGACAATATTTTGAAAAGATATAATAAAACTAATAACTGGCTAATGTAATCAGTTTTTGATTTTCTAAGAACTTTCAGTTTGACCCTCGTACTACCATAAGTATTTGTAAATCGGTTTGTTTTACATTACAATTGAAAATTTCGATAGTTTCATAACAACAAATTGAAAAATTCGTAACAGAGTGAAATTGAAAGTTTGAAAAGCAATTTACTTGTACCACAATTATCGAACTCTTTGCTTGTTTTCTTTTAACTTTTTTTATTACTAGATTAGTTATAAATAACATCTGTGGGCCTACTCTGTTCACGAAGAAAAATTCGCAAGATTACGAATTTGTGCATCAAAAGCAGAAAATTAAATATTTGTACGTATAATACCTATACATATAATGTTCTTGATCAGGTTCTGCCTCCGTCATTTCATAAATTATCGAAAAATGTGTTTCTTTTTGTAGGTCATCTGTTCTGTAAATGTAGCGCACTTAAGTTAAAATACAAAAAAAAAATATAGAGATCTAAGACTTTTAATCTTGACTCCTTTTTTCTTGGGAAGTGGCTATACGACTTTCCCATTCCACAGCTTAAAATATGAAAACAAAGCTGCACTGTGACGCACGTGTTCTAATTTTTCTTGGGGTAGGGATTAAGGTTCAACAACTTTACCTAATAAAGGTGTACGAGGATTTACTAGTCAGATAGTCTCGATTACTTTGTATCCTAAATTACTTATGTCAGCCTATTCAAGAGAGCACCTAAACCAAAATAATATATAGTAAATTAATTAATTCGTGCCAAATTTATTAATTTTTAAAACACTGCAATTTATAATAAGAA